GTTCCCTAACAGGGACACCAGGCCAGGCCTTACCCCCTCTGCCTTTCCTAGTGGCCTACAGCCCTCCAAGTCCAGTTTGGTCCAGACACTATATTAGGAACGGCCAGGGGATGGGATCTTCCTTAGAAGGAATCCAGAGTTTTACTATCTACAGACTCCCCTCCCACCCCAGGACCTTTGCACATGCTGTTACTACTGCCTGGAGAACTCTTTCTTCCCATCCCCTTCACCTGATCACTTCCTAGTTGGATCTCAGCTTAAAGGTCCCCTGCTAAGTGCTAAGTAGCTTCAGTCGTGTCTGACTCTTTGCAACCCTATGGTCTTTAGCCCACCAGGCTCCTCTGTCCATGGGCTTCTGCAGGCAAGAATACTGGAGTGGGTTGGCATGCCCTCCTCCAGGGGATCTTCACAACCCAGGGATCGAACCTGCGTCTCTTACATCTCTTGCGTTGGCAGGCAGGTTCTTTACCACTGGCGCCACCGTCCCCTACTTCAGGGTAAACGTCCCTGTGTCCCACCAGGGTAGGAGCCCCTGCCTCCTCCTCTCACAGTCCTGGACTTTTTTTCTCTCAATTCTTATCACAGTCTGGAATGCTGTCTGTCCCTGCTGTAGACCAAGAGGCAGTGTTGGTCTTGTTTAGTATTGTGTCCTTGGTACAAAGGAGACGCTCAAACTGTAATAGTCAGCAAAAAACAGAAGTCTCAGTTTCAAATTGCCCAGTCCAGTCCCCCATCTGTTATACAGAAGGGACTCTGAGACCCAGAGAAGCTAAGGGGCCTGCCAATACTGCACACTGGCTCTCCTGCCCAAGCCTGCTCTCTTCCCAAGGCACCCACAGAGTGGCCCACGCTTCTCAGCCCCTTGGCCCCCCAGGGCTCCACCTGCCACCTCCTCGGATTAATGGTGAGCCAGCTCAGAGAGGAAGCACCCGGCCGAAGCACGTTTAATTTTAATTTAGGAATCGGTTAAGACTGCAGGCCTGCTCAGCTCTGGGCTGTCAATCAGCCTTCCTCAAGGCTGCATCAATTAGTTTAAAAATATTGAATGTAATTTTGCCTGACACAACATATTGCAGCTACTGCAAAATATAATTTATTTTAGAAGAAGAAATAATTAAACTAATTTGCATGTCAGTCAGCTGAACTGAGATGCCAGGGGAGGGTGGGTGGGACCCCTGGGGGATCCAGCCCTGGGAAAGGGCGCCTAACCCTGGGTGTGGGGCGAGGTCAGCCTGGGCCTCCGTCCGAGCAGTAGCTGCATCTGGATGGATAAATATTCAGGCAGTGGAAGGGCCCACTGGCATTGCACCTGGAACAGGCACTGGCCTCAGAGTCCAGAGACCTAGGACCCAATGCCAGTTCTGCCACTGACTCTCCTGTGGCTTTGGACAAAGTCTTACCCCTTTCTGGGCCTCAGTTTCTCCATCTGCAAAATAGGTCTAGGGAATTCTCTGGCAGTTCACTGGTTAGGACTTGGCACTTTTACTGCCTGCACCTGAGTTCGATCCCTGGTCAGGGAACTAAGATCCTGCAAGTTGCACGGCATGGCCAAAAAAAAAATATTTTTAACAGGTTTAATTAAGACCTCCTTTATGAGTTGTTTTGAAGATCCAACGAAAAATAAGAAAGTTTGTTATAAATTGAAACTTTCTGCATGAAGAGGAAATTATTGATGGATTTCTTGTGTTATACCAGAAACATTTAAGGTGGTAAAATTATGCATTATTATCAATTATTACAAATGATGCTGTGATCCATAGGGGTTTGGAGAAGCCAATCAGAGGCAAGATGTCCAATTGGACCTCCCCCAGCACCTGCCAGTCACCCCCGGAGTTTGCAAAACTTGCTATGGATACATATTATATAGATTCACCTGGAGCTATTAAAAAAAAAAAAATCAATGACCAAGTCTTGGGCATCAGTTCATTTTAAAGCAGGATTTTAAAAAAAAAAAAATTGTGTTTATTTGGCTGCATCAGGTCTAAGCTGCAGCTCACAGGAAGTTCGTTGCATCATGTGGTCTTTCACCGTGGTGCATGGCCTCTATAGTATGGTGCACAGACTCTCTGAGGCAGGGAGGCTTAGTTTCTCCATGGCATGTCGGCTCTTAGTTCCCTGACCAGGGATTGAACCCACATCCCCTACATTTCAAGGTGGATTCTTAACCACTGGATCACCAAGAAAGTCCCTTCCCAAGTGATTCTAGTGAGCCAGGCTGGAGACTGCCATGATGTCGAGAGCATGGGAGTGCTGCCTTCGGGTTGGCCCATGAGCTCTGGGGTTCCAGGCCAGCCTCCAGTTCAGGGGGTCTCTGAGATAAGCTATGTAGGTGGCAACTTTGGCAACATAGAGACACACCTCTTGGCTGCCCAGCCTCTCAGATCTGAGATGCTCTCTCTTGCCAAAGGACTCAGGACTTTGCCAAGAAGTGACCTGTAACATTTGAAAGGAGGAGCTAGGACAACAACAAAACGGTAGCTTTGTAAGGCTGTACTAACTAATCTTTTTTGACTAGCATTTCGCAATATCTATGTGTATTGAATCACTGCATTTGACGCCTTAAACTTATACAGTGTTATATATGTCAATTACATCTCAATAAATCGAGATAATCGAGATAGAATTACAGCTCAATGAAGAGATGGGAGAGGCCCAGGAGAACCCAGAGGAATGATACAATAATGGGTGCTCACCAGCAGTGGACCCAAGCCTCCAGTCTGCCCACTGAGGATCTTATCCGACTTCGAGCACCCCTTCTGCATGGCCCCACAGGACCCTACCTCTGCCTCCAGCCCTAAACCGCCCCCCATTGAAGGGGAAGCTGCGCTCTCAGCCCCTACCCTCCCTCTGCCTCAGTGGGGAGAGAGGTGCCCATTCCTGGCGATGGACCTCACCCGCCTCTCCTCCCCTCCTCCTCTCCCCACAAAGCACCCTCTGGCTGGCTGTTCTCCGGCAAAACGCTCTTAAAAATAACAGCTCACCCGGCATTCCCAGTCACGACTCCTATCTCTCGCCCCCGGAAAAGCCCCCTCTAATCGCCGAAGCGGCAGATCTGGGTGAGCTGAGAAGATAAGGCCCCCCTGGCTAAGGGGAGTTCCAGAGAGGAGTCGGGGTTTGAGTTAATTAAGGACGCCCCCCCACCCCCCACCCTTCCTCTCCCTGACCCGGTGGCCACACCTGCCTCCCAATCTCCATTTCTGTCTTTATCAGCACAGGAGCAGCTGCAGTCGGCATCCGATGGGGCCCTTGAGTTCACAGAAAGGAGTAGTCGACCACCCCCCTCATCCCCCCAAAAAAACCATGGGGTTCCTGGCTGCCTGTCCTTGATTGCACTGTTGGCTGGAACATGTCAGTAATGAACTCATGGCTAAGATAGCCAAGGACTCGGCACCCCTGAGCACTCAGAGGTCTGGGGGCTGTAAAGGGCCAACGATCAGGGTGCTTCTCAGAAAGGACAGGAGGGGATGGGGTGTCCCAGAGCCCTGAGTCACTGCTGAGAGGATCCTTCAAGGATGCCTGTTTATCTAACAAGTCCTTATGTAACACTTGGTGTGTGTTATATATACAGCTTTAAGTGCTTTGCAGATATTGACTCAATCTGTCTGCCTAACCGACTCTCTCCTAACAGACCCATTTTGCTGAAGGTAAGAAAATCTAGGCCCAGAGAGGTCAAGTGACCTGGCACGGATCACAGACCTGCTAAGTGACACCGCTGAGATTGGAGCCACTTGGTTCCTGAGTCCTTGCTCTTAATCACTGTGCTGTTTTCCAGGTGTGGAAACTGATGTCAGAGAGGGGAAAGTTTTACCCGAGATCAAACGCAGTGTCAGGGACAGAGCCATGCCTGAAATGCAAGCCTCTGTCTGTCTCAGTGTTTCCAGGTTTCCCTCATTCACTCAGCAGATCTGTTAGAATCTAGTCTGTACCACATGCCACAATGCTGGGGACCCAGGAACTAATGCAATGGAAGCCTTGACCTCAAAGACATCACAGATGGAGGGGTGGGGACTCCATGGTTTTGGAGGTGAAGACTCACCTCCGGTGGACTTGTCTTGCCCTCTCAGGATCGAGTCTTAAAAGAGCAAAGGTTTGGGACTTCCGTTGCCACCTGACCGATTCTTTAAACTCTCCAGTGTTTTCGTTTCTCTTCTGCAATATGGGGATAGAAATTATACCAAACTACCGGATTTCTGCAAGGATACCTGAAAAGATGGGTATGGATGCTGCAGGAGCATTCTGAGCACGCTGAGGTGAAGGGGTAGGGTGGCAGTGTTGACTGTAGTGTGGTTGGAGGTGGGATTGGGGGGTGGTTGTGCTGTGGTAGTGATGTGGGTGATGATGGCGGGGTCATTGCAGTGTTGGTGGGGCTGTGAGCCAGATGGTGGCTAAGTGAATGACTGGAGATGATGGTGGTGGTGATATTGGTGATTGTGGTGTCAGGGGGGTGCTGGGGTTGGTAAGAGTGGTGAGTGATGGCCTTAATGTTTGTGATGATGGTGAAGATGAGGGAGGCAGTACTAGTGGATACGATGGTGATGATAATTCTCATGCTGATGGTGATGATCATCTAATGGTGATAGTGACAGAGGTGGGATGGCATTGGTGATGGTGAGAGCGGGAAGGATGGTGATGGTGGTACCACTAGTTATGCTGGTAGAGGTGGCAAAGCTAAAACTAATGGTGGCAGTACTACTAGTAATGGTGATGGTGAAGGTAGTAGTAGTGATGGTGGAGATGGTGATGGCGTTGGTGATGAGGTGGTACTGGTGATTATGGTGATGGTAATGGTGATGGTTACAGTGATAATGGTGGTGGTGATGATAGCAACACTGGTAGTGGTGAGGACTGGTATGGTGATGGTGACCCATTTAGCCAGATGTCCAGCTTGATCAATACACAGATCTCTCAATGCGACCCCACTGCCTAGTGTCCTAGCAGTAGATGGGGGCCTGTCTAGATCTCACACTTGGAGCCTCTTGTTACTTGTGCTCTTGTTACAGACAATCACGCCCAGCTCTCCCGGGCATCCCTGAGGATCCGAATCCTGGATGTGAACGACAATCCCCCGGAGCTGGCCACACCCTACGAGGCAGCCGTGTGTGAGGATGCCAAGCCAGGCCAGGTACCACTGAGGGTCTGGGGGCTGGGGGTCGCTACCAAGTCGGTTGCTGGGGTAACCTTTGTTCAGGCCCAGCATGGGCTCGGCCTCGCCTCAGTCCCCTGCCCCCTCCTCACCCTTCAGCTCATCCAGACCATCAGCGTGGTGGACAGAGACGAGCCCCAGAGTGGGCATCGCTTCTATTTCCGCCTGGTGCCTGAAGCTCCCAGCAACCCCCATTTCTCCCTGCTAGACATCCAAGGTGAGTGACCTCTGAAGGACCGCCAAATCCTAGCATTCGTGGAGGGAGGAGCCTAGCCTCCCTGTCCCCTTCCCATGTTACAGAGGCCCCTAGAGGGGTGGGTCCGAGATCACACACGACGTCTGCGCCACACTGGAGCCCTTAGCAAGCCTGCTGGCCAGACTGAAGAACAAGCAAGAGGTGGGTTGGTGGAGTGAAGGGGGCACAGCTCCAGGGTAACGGGTAGATAGAAAGACACAGAGAGGGAATACATGAAGAATGGGAGCGGGTGCAGCTCCAGGGTGGGAGGAGCCCCTGATCTAAGTGAAGACTGGAATAAGCCAGGGATCCTGGGTGGCTCAGACGGTAAAGAATCTGCCTGAAATACAGGAGACCTGGGTTTGATCTTGGGTCAGGGAGATCCCCTGGAGAAAGGAATGGCACCCCACTCCAGTATTCCTGCCTGGAGAATCCAATGGACAGAGAAGCCTGGCGAGCTACAGCCCATGGGGCCACAAAGAGTCGGACACAGCTGAACAACTCACACGCACACACACACACACACACACACACAACTCCTACCCTTTTGTTTTAAAAGTGCTTTATCCCTTGGGACCTCCCTGGTTGTCCAGTGGTTGACAACCTGCCTTCCGATTAAGGGGGTACAGGTTCTGCCCCTGGTCGGACATCCAAGATACCACATGCTGAGGGGCAGCTAAGCCCATGCGCTGCAAGTGCTGAGCCCATGGGCCACAACGAGAGAAGCCTTCGCACTGCAGCTAGAGAAAGCCAGTGTGCCTCAGTGAAGACAGCACAGCTGGGAAAAAAGTGCTTTAGCCCGCTCGCGTTTCTCTTTGCACCCTCATGGCCACTTGGGAGGCGGTTTTCTTACCCCTCCCCTCATTTTGCAGGTGATGAAACTGAGACTTTAAGAGGAAAAGGACTCACTCGGGGTCACATAGGGAGTCAACATGAGGCTGGGATTCAAACCCGCACGTGTGTCAGTTCCAATGTGCTTCCTTCTCCCTACCTGGAAAGCAAACTGCCCCACCCAGCCTGAGCTGATCCCATTGTGAAACCCACCCCTGCAGGTCCCCCTTCATCAGGAAGCTGAAGTCTGAATCTTTAAGGCGTAGACTCGGGGGTAGGAGCAACACACTGGGAGTGAGGGACCTGGGTCTCAGCTCAACCTCAGTTCATGGCTTCCTGTGCAGCCCTGAGGTCTGCCCCAGTTTTACCACCTGTAAAATGGGGCTGAAAATGCCTGCCAAGCAGCTAGGTGGCCCCAGTGAAATGTGGTCTACCAAAGTGTATTGTCAGCACCTAGAATGTGGCATCTCCTTCATTCAACAACTATTTATTGAACATTTATTGAAAAGTGTCTTTATGCCAGGCACTGTTCTAGGTTCTAAAAATGTAGCAGCACATGAGACAAAATCCCTGCCTTCATGGAGTTTACATTCTAGGGAGAGAAAACAGAAATTAAACAAATAAATAATGTGATGAGGGTAGTAAGTGGCCAGCAGGGAGAAATAATGCAATCTTCACCAAAGTCTGAACTTTGTTCTATTCAGTGCTGGACCCTGGGTGCCAGGCACATAGCAGGTATTCACATACATGTGTTAGACAAAACAAGAGGAAATAAAGCCAGGTAAGAGTAGAAGCTGGGCTTCCCAGGTAGCGCTAGTGGTAAAGAACCTGCCTGCCAGTGCAGGAGACCCACGTTTGACCTCTGGGTCTGGAAGATCCCCTGGAGGAGGGAATGGCAACCCACTCCAGTATTCTTGCCTAGAGAATCGCCATAGACAGAGGAGCCTGGCGAGCTATAGTCCATGGGGTCGTCAAGAGTCAGACATGACTGAAACAACTGCGCATAGCACAGCACAAGAGTAGAAGACACTTTAAATAAGGTGGCTTAGGGAGGCCTCTGTGAAGGAGTCAACAGTGAGGAGGGATCTAAAGGAAGTTAGGTGAGCCATGCAGGTAACTGCACAAAGAATGATGCAAGTCCAAGAGACAGTAAGCGCAAAGGCCCTGAGGCAGGAACAGGCTTACGATGTTCAAGACCTTCATAGTTGGGGTGGATGAGTGACAGGCCTGGAGGACATGTAGTCACAGAGGTACTAAGTGTCAGATTATGTGAGTTCCTTTTGAACCTGGAACAGGTCTGGGTTCACCCCCGCCCCCGCGACCCAAGACTTTGACATCCCTTCCCTCAGTGGCCTCTGAAGCCAGACCCATGTGTATTTCCAGGAGTCCTAAATGGATTTAACAACCAGTGCAGCTCAGATAACCAATCAGGTCACTGATCATAAACCTGGAGTAGGACCCTGGGGCCTCTGCGGAGCCAGGCTTTAACCCATCAATGACTTGATTATGTTGAAGTGGGGGTGTGCTGGTGGCTCAGCAGAAAGGAATCTGCCTGCCAAGGTAGGAGACATGGGTTTGATCCGTGGTCCAGAAGGATCCCACATGCCGTGGAGCAACTGGGTCCATGCACCACAACTGTCGAACCTGTGTTCTAGAACCCAGGAACCACGACTGTTGTGCCCATGAGCGGCAGCTGCTGAAGCCCTGGAGCCCGTGCTCTGCGATAAAAGAAGCCACTGTAGTGAGAAGCCTGAGCACTGCAACTAGAGAGTAGCCCCGCTCCCAGCAACTAGAGAAAAACCCGCGCGGCAGCAGAGACCCAAGCACAGCCAAAATAAATACATCAATTTTTTTTAAAAGAAAAGTTGGGGGTGTGCTTGAGGGGGAGGCTGAGGCAACAGGGCAGGAATTGGGGGACTCAGAGTCACGGCTATTTAAACCGTAGTCGTTCGGTATTTTAACAACTTTCACCACCAGTACTGTCCTGCCTGCTCATCATTGCTGTGGGATCCTGAGCTGGGCATAGGAGACACAGGGAGCCCTGGCTTGACCTCTTGACCTCGCCAGGTTCACAGATCTTTCCAACCCAAGGGGCTTGAGGTTATGCCCCAACTACCCCCCTGTGATCGAGGGGTCGGAGGCTGGGTTTACCACCACGGTTCCCATCCGGTGTGACCCGCCTGGTCCGAGCCTCGGGAGCCAGGGCAGCAGCAGCGTGCTGAGGTCAGCACAGGCAGGCAAGGACTCCTCCTTCCAGCCCCCCAGCCCCTCCCTGCGGTGTGCCAAGCCCCCTCCTCCTCACCATATAAATATCCCAGTTGACAAACGGCTACCCCAACCCATCTGTTTCTTTGTACAAATTTGTAGCCAGTTTGGAAACGTGATTTATAAATATTGCTTTTGCAGCCAGGGATTGACACTGATGTATGTCAGGCCAGATGGATGGATGCAGTGCTGGGCACAGATCCCACCTAGAAGGGTGGGGTCAGGGTCTGGGGTGGCCAGTGGCTTCCCCAGATGAAGCCAGCTGCTGCCAGGAGCGGAGTGAAGAGGGATGGGAATGAGGCTCGGGGATTTCCTCTTATGGAGTGAAACAGTAGCAGGGACCAGAGCTCCAGAAACATATGGCTCCCGTGGTCAAAGACAGCAGCCCTGAGAAACAAATATCCCCTTTCTCCTCCTCTGTTCTTACTTGGGAATTTGAGGCTGAGCCAGAGCCAGCCACTCATTTTTCAAATCTGTCTACTTCTCAGTGCCTCCACGACCACTATTATTTCACATCTAAAACATACAACAGCTTCCTAACTGGTCTTCTGCATCCACACTTGTGTTTTAGATTAGAGTCACCCTTGCTTAGAAGGTAGGCTCCGAGAAGGCGGGGATTATGTCTGTCTTATTCACTGCTCTATCCTCAGGGGCTCGACTAATCCTGACTTCTTGTTGTTTAGTTGCTAAGTCATGTCCAACTCTTTTGTAACCCCCATGGACTGTAGCCCACCAGGCTCCTCTGTCCATGGGATTTCGCAGTCAAGAATACTGGCCTGGGTTGCCATTTCCTTCTCCAGGGGATCTTCCTGTCCCAGGGATCAAACCAGCATCTCCTGCATTGGCAGGTGGATTCTTTACCACTGAGCCACCAAGGAAGGCTTATCCTGACTTATAGAGGGTGTTTAATTCTTATTCATTGTTGAACGGAGGGATGATATGTCACTAGGTTGCTTCTTTGCCCACCAATCAGTGGCTTCCTATTGTCTTTAGGAAAATAATGCAATTCCTTACCATGGCCTCTAAGATTTTCTATAATGAGCCTCTGCCTCCTTCTCCAGCCTCTTCTTGACTTACCCTATCCCTCCAGCCACAAAAGACTGCTCTCAGCTCCTTGAGTTCCTGTGCCTCTTCCAACCACAGGACCTTTGCATGGGCTATTCCCTGTCCTAGAACTCGTTGTTCAGGGTTCAGCAATAATACCATATTTTCACCCAGAGAGTTCTCCCTGAACCCCCAGACTTGGTCAGATCTTCTGTTAAATGCTCTTCCTATACTTTTCCTTCTTAGCACTCCTTATGGTTTGCAATTGTAGACTAAATTGTGGGTTTATTTGATTAATATTTGTCTCTCATATTATCATGTAAGACCAGATCCAAGATTATGGTTGATTTAGGTGTTCATTATTTCCTTCCTATGACTAGCATGGTGCCAAGCACACAGTAGGTATTCAATAAAGATTTATTGGATGCATGGATGGAGGGATAGATGAATGGATTGTTGAAGGATAGATGGATAGATGGATGGATGGATGGATGGAGGATGGGTGGACGGATGAATGGAAGATGGATAGTTGGATGGATGGATTGATGATAACATGGGTGGATGGAAAAGATAGCTATGCCACCAATTCACAGAATAAATTCAGACAAGTCCCTTCTCTCTGAACCTCAAATTCCATGTATTTAAAATAATGTTACAACTCTTGATGTTTGTGAGGATTAAGCATTTCCACCCAGTCATTGATGCGTTAAAAAATATGCAGTCAATGCAAAGGAGTCCCACGCTATTCCTTTTACCCCTCATCTTGCTCTTCAGCCTTTCATCCTCAGGGGAAGGCAGATGTTGTCACAGCTGGCTTGACTGCCCTTTGACAGGAGGCTAAAGCCAGAACTTGAGGAGCTGACCCAGGACCACCAGTTACCCCTAGAAGATGTGGCTCGTTCAAGCATCATTCTTTCAGATTGGCTCACTGCCAGGGAAGAGACAGGCAAATGCTACCTTAAGGCAGCATGACAAGTGCTGTAACAGAAGTGTGCGTGGCACCTGCATAGTCAGAGCAGGGCGGGGGAAGCCATAAATCCTTCCTTCCCAGAGAAGCGGAGAAAGGCGGCCACAGAAAGGAGGTGACATTTAGCTGGAGCATGAGGGATGAGGAATTTGCCCAGGCAAGAAGGTGGAGAAGGTGTTCCAGCTAGCGGGAACTTGGTGAATAAAGTCAGGGCAGCCTCAACAGAGAGTGGGCACGGGGTACAGTGTGTGGGGGTGGAGCATGAAAAATTTAACAACCAGCATTCACGGAGAGCTTCTGCTTTGGGGGAGCTATTCTACGGGGCATGGATGAACTATATCATTTCATCCTCACACCTGCGTGATGCTGTTTTCCTCAGTTTACAGATGAGGAAACCGAGGTCCCGAGAAGCTAAATGAGTTTCCCAAACTAGTACCTGATCAACTCAGCCTTAGTTAGTAACATTTTAATGAAAAATTTCCAATATGTATAAAAGTAGAATCACACAACAAACTCTTATGTGGCCATCACATGACCTTCAACCCATGACCAGTCTTGTTTCAGCCGGATCTCCAGGCTACTTCACAGAGGTGCCCAAGCCCACAAGTCGGCCCTTCCAAGGGCTCTTGTTTCCCGCTTTATGTCCGTGATGGGGAAGGCCAGGACAGGCACACTGCGTGGGGGCCACGGAAGAGGCTGAGTTAACTGGGGACTCGAAGCTGGGGAAGGGACCCGGGCTGCCAAAATCTGAGGTCAGGGAGACCTGCCTGAAGTCTGTGAATGCAGAGAGAAGGACTCAGGAAGGAAGCCTGAGCCCCTCGTGGGAAGTGGGGCCCCTTTTGTGGGGCTGGCTGTCGAGGGTGGGGGCAACAGCCAGCAGCCAGGTGGGCTCTGAGTACTTCCACCAAAATGATGGCGGGGGAGGGGGTGGTCCGTGATGGCCTGGCCCATACAGGGGAGGTGCAGAGGAGTCAGGAGGCCAGGGGAAGTGGGCACGTCTACACATTTTCCACCCGCACTCCCGGCGCCAGCCGGCAGCAGTACGAGTATGACTCATGTGAGTTCACTGTCTCCTCCGGCCGCCAGCATCCAAAGGAAAGAGACGGGTGAGGAGACCTTGGTGCCCTGAGGCATCCTTATCAGGCCCCAAAGGCATGGCCCTGGCACTCCAGGCTCAGCTCTTAAAGAGACCCCTGACAGCAAGCTCCCTCAGCCAAAGGCGGGTGCCAGTCAGAGTTTCCAGTCTTCTCTGATGACCCAGAACTTGTTGGAGCTCAGGAAGCCACAACCGCAAGACCACAGGACCCCAGGGTCAGGATGCATTTGACAGCTGGTGTAGAATCTGGAACAACAACAACAAGAGGCTGTTGAGGCACATGGCAAAAAAAAAAAAATTGACATAGCCAGAGACAGGACCTTGGCCCAGCTGGGGACGGAATCTTGGAATAACAGGGGACAGGACCTTGGCACAGCTGGGGACAGAGTCTTGAAATAGCTGAAAGCAAAACTTTGAGACAGCTGGGAAGAGAAACTTAGAACAGCTAAGGACAGAAGTGAAGGCTCGAGGGCTGGGGACAGAACCTTCAGGGATCTGGGGGGCAGAATTGGGGGAGATCAGGTCCGCTGGGAGGCGGTAGCTGAGGGCAGAGTGAGGCAGATCCCAAGGTGGACTCAGGAAGGGCTGGGACAGGCAAGGCTGACGCCGAGTCACTCGCCCCTCGCTTTCTCCGGAGCAGACAACACGGCCGCGGTGCACACGCAGCACATGGGCTTCAATCGGCAGGAGCAGGACGTGTTCCTCCTGCCCATCCTGGTGGTGGACAGCGGGCCTCCCACGCTGAGCAGCACGGGGACCCTGACCATCCGCATCTGCGGCTGCGACAGCTCGGGCGCCATCCAGTCCTGCAACACCACGGCCTTCGTCATGGCCGCCTCCCTCAGCCCCGGCGCCCTCATCGCCCTCCTGGTCTGTGTCCTCATCCTGGTCGGTGAGTCGGCCAAGAGCCAGCCCCACCCCACCGCCTGATTGGCCCCGGTCCTCGGGCCCCGGATTTCCTTCCCCAGCGGCCCCCGTGGGGGTCTGACTTTCCCTGTCCGCACAAGGAAGGGCTGGCTTGATGGAGTTCCAAGCTCTTTCCGGGATCCCCAGGCTGGGAGGCCTGACTTGGGACTCGGAGCCTTCACAACAGGTGGAGAACTTCTCTGGTTCTCCAGTTTGCGGAGTGTCCATCTGGCAGGTATGGGATTTGATTTTATCATGACTGTGCCCCTCCTGCCGTCTGGCTGCAGCTTCTCCTTTGTCTTTGGATATTTTTAGTAGGTTTCAGCATCCTCCATTCGATGGTTGTTCAATAGCTAGCTGTGATTTTGATGCTCTCGCAGTAGGAGATGGGGGCGTGTCTTTCTACTCTTCTACCTTGAACCAATTGCCTGAGCTCCAAGCTCTAACCTGCAGCTCTTATAAGAAATCTCCTAAGTACCGAGCAGCTGCTTTGCCAGCTTCAGAAGTGGTCAGCACCCAGTGAAGACTTAAGTTCAGCTGGCTCTATATGGCCCGAAGTCTCCCCTAATTTTTAAAAGCCAAGCCTATGTTTTAAAGTTCTCTCATGTCTATTGTCCTATTTTATTCTCTATGTAGGACTTTTAGTAAAAAGGGCTCTTGTGAACCTTACAACCATGCAGCCAGATGTATCAACCCCATTTTTCAGATGACAAGACTAAGGCTTGGAGAGGTTAAGTGGCTTGCAGAAGGGGACCCAACTAGTCTTCTAACTGGGTCTTCCTTGAAATCAGGTCTTTTCAGCTTGTGTTTTCTGTTCCTTTAACTACCCCACCTGCTGGGAAATCTGGGCTTCCCCCATGGCTCAGAAGGTAAAGAATCCGGCTACAATGCAGGAGACTGGGGTTGGATCCCTAGGTCGGGAAGATCCCCTGGAGAAGGGAATGGCTACCCACTCCAGTATTCTTGCCTGGAGAATCCCATGGATAGAGAAGCTTGATGGGCTACAGTCCACGGGGTCGCAAAGAGTCAGACACGACTGAGCAACTAATACTTTCACTTTTTTTCACTGCTAGGAATTTAAACTGGGGGCAAAATCTTGAGGCAGCTAACTTAAAATCTTAAGGTATTCGGGGAGGGGGCAAAATCTACTCTGGCATCAGTTGCACCAGCAGCCACTTGAACCCCCAAAGTGTCCCCAAGGAAGAGGTCCAGTTTCAGGAGCTCAACTAGACCCACAGTGGTCTAGTGCCGCCTCTTGCTGTCAAAGCAGAAGGGCTTCACCTCAGCCCTGACCTCTGGACTTCACAGAACACCCAAAGCTGGAGGAGCTCAAGGAAGGGCCAGATGGCAGATCCCAGGTTTGCTCGGTTCCCTGGGAGATTCAGCTGCATCCTACACCTCGCTGCTCACCCCCGGGACCTGCAGAGGCCCTGGGCAGGCCCCTCCTAGCTAGGAGGCTCCCCCTGCCCACCCTGCTCTCTCCCCTCCTCAGCCCATGGCTCAGAAACCCTTTTTCCAGAGGGTGCACTTTACAGCGGTTTCATTTTCCGAGGCAGTGCAAACAAATTTCTGCCTAATTGCCCACAAACGAAGAAAGTGCACATCAGTGCTGTAAAGGTGACGGGCGGAATCGCTGATCAGGCCTGGCACATCTGTCGCCCGCCGCCCACGCTCCCCACCATCTGCTCTCACGGGCATCACCCTCCGCAGCTCCGGCCTCCAGCTCCGGAAGCCGTCCATCCATCTTTCCCACTTCTCTCCTGACACCTTTCCTCCCTCCCGACCTGTCCCTGGGTTCCCTCCCCTCCTTCCCTGTCATGGGCCACCTTGTTAGGTCATGAGCCAGCAGCCTGCCCCATGGCCCTCACAGCTGGTTCTGGCCCCTGGCCTAGCCCGAGCTGTTTGGAGCAGCAAGAAAAATCCAGTGCCTGACATGATACCCAGCGCGTCTCTGTCCATTCATCTACCCACCCATCCATCTAGTTCTCTGTCTGCTCCTCTGTTCCCAATTTATCCATCCATGAGCCCCACCCCCATGTGCTCAATTATCCTAGGCACTGGGATTCATCAGTAAATGAAAGAGGCGAAAAGCCTCAAGTCACTGGGAAGTTGGGGTTGCCGTTGCTGAGGCGGGGAGATGGAGGGTGGGAAGGAGGAAAGATTATTATTTCAGATTTCAACAGGTTAAGTTTGTGATTCTTCCGGTCACCCCCTGAGACTTGCTGGGGCGGAAACTGGATGTACAATCTAGGTTTCAAGGGAGAAGTCCAGGCTGGAGGCTGCAGTATGGGAGCTGTCACCCTCTAATTGGAATTTAAAGCCACAAGACAAGGAAAGTGCCATGAAAGAGGATGTGGATAAAGGACCAAGGACTGAGTCCTGGGACATCTGATGTTAAGAAGTCAGAGAGGGGACTTCCTGCCCCTGGTGGTCCAGTGGTTGGGACTCTGTGCTTCCAAGGCAGGGGGTGCGAGTTCAATCACTGGTCAGGGAACTAGGATCCCACATAAGGCATAGCCAAAAAAAAAAAAATTTATTTTCAAATAAAAGAAGTCAGAGAGTAGAGGAGAAGAGAAGCTTGCTTAGAAGGTTGAAGACGAGTTATCAGTGAGGTGGGAGGAGGAAGGGCATGCGGAGTCCTTTCTGTCAGGTGAAGAAAGCCAAGAAGGAACAATTCATTCATTCTCTCAGCCTTGCAACACCCAGGTCTCCATCTATTTCTTCATTTAGTCATTCATTCAATAAGCATAGTTCTCATGCTTACTGCGTGCCAGGCACCCTGCCAGGGGAACATGCCCCAGGGTCCTCCAGGGTAGTTCAGAGTGTGGATTTGCGGTGAGCTGAGACTGACATATGGCAGGGTCTGTGCTATGAAGGAGCGGTGGCTTTCAGACCTGAGCTGCCTGGGCATCACTTCAGAGCCTTACTGAAACAGATCCAATAGATCTAGGGCACAACCTAAGAACCTGCATTTCTAACAAGTTCCCAGGAGGTGCCGATGCTGCTGATCCAGGGACCCAAGCAGGGCGATAGAGAGGAACCCTCATCAGGGAAGCTTGGAGGTGATGGTGCTGAACCTGGCCTGCAGGAGGTGAAGGGCTCCTGCAGGACATAGCTGGATCTGAGAACAGGGCCTCTGGAGTGGACAGAGAAGGACAAGGGTGAGACAGATGTCAGGGTCAGGGGCATTTCATTCCCTCAAACCTCAGCTGCCCTCTTTCCACGCACCAGCCCCCAGAGACCTCACAGGGATGTATCTTCATAGAGTTGAGGATGAAGACCTCAGAGGTTGGGTCCAGCCCTACAACACACACGAAATCTCTTAACACCAGCTCTCTGTCCCCACCACCAGTGGGGGTGTAGCCTTGATTTGCACACCTCCCAAGATGGGCAGCTCACGACCTCTCCAGATAGCCAGCTCTGTTCAGACTGTGAGAAAGGTATTTTTGCACAGAAATCTAGGAAGCCTGCATGAGCTTTTAGGCTGAACCGGTCCTGCTGGGCATCAGGGGAAGGGCGGGCCCTCACGGGCCCCCACTGCTCTCTCCCGGGCAGTGCTGGTGCTGCTGATCCTCACCCTCAGGCGCCACCACAAGAGCCAGCTCAGCCCGGACGAGGACGAGGACATGCGCGACAACGTCATCAAGTACAACGACGAGGGCGGCGGCGAGCAGGACACCGAGGCCTACGACATGTCGGCGCTGCGGAGCCTCTACGACTTCGGCGAGCTCAAGGGCGGCGGCGGCGGCGGCGGCGGCGAGGGCCCCGCAGGGAGCGCGGGGAGCCCCCCGCAGGCGGGCCTGCCCTCGGAGCGCCACTCGCTGCCGCAGGGGCCGCCGAGCCCCGAGCCGGACTTCTCGGTGTTCAGGGACTTCATCAGCCGCAAAGTGGCGCTGGCGGACGGGGACCCGTCGGTGCCGCCCTACGACGCCTTCCAGACCTACGCCTTCGAGGGCGCGGACTCGCCGGCCGCCTCGCTCAGCTCGCTGCACAGCGGCGGCTCGTCGGGCTCCGAGCAGGACTTCGCCTATCTCAGCGGCTGGGGCCCCCGCTTCCGGCCCCTGGCCGCCCTCTACGCCGGCCACCGCCCGGACGACGAGGCCCCGGCCTCCTAGCTCGGCCCTCCCTGCCGCCCGGGACCCGACTGCACCCCCAGGACAAAGCACGTCCGTCCCCTGCTTCACCCCCGTTCCCAAACCTCCCACCCTCCCAGGGCGGCCAGGAGTGGGGCCTCGAGAGTGGACCCTCCGACGGCATCCCTCCCCGAGGGAGTGGGCAGCTTTCGCCCAGAGGTGCGGGAATTAGGATCAACATCACGGAAACTGCCCCGAGAACGGGCGCCGCTCGGCTCGGGGGTTACACAGAGAGAGGGGTGTGGGGTGGGGCGTGGCTCCCTCCTGGCTTGGGGGAGAAGCCGGAGAGAGAATGCTGCCGAAGTGCCCCCCCCCTTCCCCAGGTATCCCCCATCAGAGTTAAGAGGAAAGAAGGGCTGTTCATTTACTAAGCGCCTACTGTGTACTGGGACTGTGCAGAGACCGTCTTAGTCGTCATGGAAACCGCGAGGTGGAGCCCTGAAGGTAACAGATGGAGAAAGCCCCCCCAGAGCAGTGGCTGGGACCTGTCCAAGGACACCTGGCCAGTGTGCGGTGGAGCCACGCCCTTACTGGCTACCTGGCCTTGGGCAGGTTACCTCCCTTCTCTGGGCCTCAGTTTCCTCCTGTGTCAAACGAGGCAAATTAGCAGAACCTACCTCGAAGAGTCCTGAGGATAAAAAGGTTTTGTATGTGTCAAGTGGTCAGGACAGTGCCTGGCACATAGTAGGTGTTCAATAAATGTTAGCCTTTGATACTATTATTCTTTTTGTCGTTATTAGAAGCCAGGCGTGTCTGTCTCCCAGGTCTGAGCTTTCTCCCCCACTTTCTCTATGTTTCTAAGGAAAGAGAAAAGGTGCTCCTGCTCTGAATGGAGGATGGGGGATGTAGGGACATTCCCAGTGACTGGAGTTTCAGGCGACGCTGAAACAGGACACTGGGCAGGGTGCCAAGAGAGGACAAGCTGGGCAGCTCCAGGACTTGGATCAAGTGGAAGGGTTGCTGGGAGATGGAGGAGTTGAAAGCCACTGGGTGTGATGAGGGCCTTATTTTATTTTCGTTTTACCTTTTGACCACACTGCACAGCATGTGGGATCTTGATTCCCTGACAAGGGATCAAACCCACTCCCTTTCAATCAGCAGCGAAGAGTCTTAACCCACTAAACTAACAGGGAAGTCCCTGAGGACCTTATTTATTTAGTCTGGGACCCTGCAGTTTCCCCAGCCATGGACCCCAAGTTAAGGACCCCAGGGCTAAGTCATCTCTAAGAGCCTCCAGTTCTAAAACCGTTTGATTATAAGATACAGGTAATTTGCCCTCACACCCTCGTCCCCAAATGATTCATTCCACATTGATTGGCTGTGAATTCTAGCTCCTGCTAGGTAGGCATCCTTCATCAGGGTCCTCAACTGCTGGAGCCTCAGTTTCCTGTAAAATGAGGCTAATGATAATCCCTTCCTTAAAGGATTGTTAAGAGACTTAAAGAAATAATGAATGTTAAGTTCTGATCTCAGTGCCTTCCTTCCACATTGAAAGTGCTCAATAAATGCTCACTTGCCTTTTTCTTTTGCCCTCCCAGGGAGCGTTCATTCATTCCCTCCACATTTGCCAAGGTCCACTGTGACAGATCCAGAGATAGTCATTCTGTCCTGAGTGCCCTACCTGTATTATCTCATCTAAGTTAGATACTGTCAGCCTAGTTCACAGATGAGAAAACTGAGGCTCAGAGAGTAGTAACCCATGCAAAGTCATTAATACACAGAGCATAAGTAGTTCCTTCCTTCCAGTAACTTCCAACTTGGGGAGGGGGGTGCGGGGGGCCAGAATCATCCAGTAACAATGCATTGGGTAAGCCTTGTAGCAGAATTAACAGAAAAAAAAGTTGCTGGAAACACTGAAGAAAGATTGAATAGTTCCCAGAGGAGGTGCCTCCAACTGGCTCTTGAAGAATGAGTCTGAGATATATGAGATAACCGAGCAAGCAAGAGCATTACAGGCAGAGAGAAGAGCATCCTCAAAGACTGGGGGTGGGGGAGTGGCAGGAAGCATGAGGCAGCTTCAGGAGTGATGTGTGGTCCCCAGAGCTAGACCGCCAGGTGGAGGAATAGTGAGATGTGAGCGGGGAAGGCTGGCTAGAGGCCAGCTGGGAAAAGACCTTGAAGGCCAGGCTAAGAAATGATGCTTTGGTCAACTTGACCATGTCTCCTAAAGTCCACTGAGGGATGTGGGGCATTGGGACTCTCATCCATGTAGGAGCCCTGATAACTTGCGGACCCCTGAGAAGACGTGATCCTCTCCCTCACCCAATTGTGTGCCCAATTCTCACATACAGCATCCCAACAGTTCTCAGGTTGGTATCGCCATCGCCATTGTAGAGAGGATAACTGAGATCCAAATCCAGAGAAGTAAAGTGACCGGCTCAAGTTCGCCCAGCTGGTGGGGACAGGGCTGAAACAACACAAGACCTCTGATTCCAAGTCTCTGTCCCTTCCACTTGTGCCCCTTGCATTGACAGACTCTGTCCCTGCCGAGAAGATTGCAGACAGGTTGCACGTCCAGAGGGACAGAGTCACAAAGACCCTTGGACATTTTGTCCAAACCCCATATGTGGAGAATGACTTTCTTGAGGTCACACAGAGTTAAAGAGCTTTCTAGAAATAAAAAAATGTTATTCATCCAGATTCACCTTCTGAGCCTCTGGCTCTTCTGTTTTCCAGCTGTGTGACTTCAGATAAATGTTTTACCCTCTCTGTGCCCCTATTTTCTTCTCCATAAAGTGCACACACTAGAACACCTACTCCATAGGGTTGCAGTGAGGATAAAATACAGAAATAACCCCTGGCACTGAGCATTTCCACCTGCCAGGCATTACTCAAAGCCCTTCATGTGAATTACATCTTTTAATCCTTCATCAGCCCAGCGAAGTAGCCCTCATTTTATTGGTCAGAGAATGAGGCACAGAGAGGTTAAGTAACTTGCCCAAGATCAAACAACGAAGAAGTGGAGATGCCAAGATTTAACAGGGGCACTCTGACCCCCAGAACCTACACCATCTGTAGCATGTATGGTGCCTGACCCACAGGAAGTCCTGGACACGTGGCCTGGGTGTATCTGATGTCACCTTCTTGCCCTGGGAGAGCTTTTCCTCCACTTACCACTATGTTCTACAGGCTGTGGGAGTCCTCAAGTTTCCCTGTGACTTCTGATAATCCTAGGAGTGGGGCTGGAGGGCTAGGGAATGCCCCCTCGATCTCCTCTGCTTCCAGCTCCCGCACCCTCACCCGCCTACTCCACTGAGCTCTGAGCCAGCCCAGGAGTGAAACACGTGAGCCCAGTCCCTCCTCTGGGTTCCACAAGGTGCCTGTCACGTCATGTATTTTGTGAGATTTGTACCCTTCTCTGAGGGTCTGGGGTCACAGACAAGGGTCTCGTGGCAGACACAGTGTTTGCCCATCGGCCTCACTGATTCTCACCAACTTCCCCCACAAGCTCCATTTCCCCTGCCTGTATTACGCAGACAGCACAGCCACCCCAGCTCCAGGCTCTAACTGGGCACACCCAACTCTATCAGGGAGCTCAGAAAACAAAGAGCCTTCCCTCTCCCATGTCTGCCCCCCTTTCAAGGCACAGGGAAAACGAAAAGAAAAAAAAAATCCCTTTTATTGTCATCATCTCTGTCACCATCAGCAGCACGGGATAAAGGAGCATTCAGGGTCATGAGCAAGAATTGATGTATAATTGGCTAAGAATTTTAGAACCAGGGATATTAATGACAACGACAATGATGGTAAAAGATGATGACAGCGCCCTACATGGCTCTTGCCGCATGCCAGACCCTGTTCTAAGCTCTGTACATAATTACTAGCTCAGGTGAAACCCATGGAGGGTGGACTCAACGTGTACTGTGTTTAGTGCTTTATTTAAGTGGCCTTGTTTACTTTAAGCAGGTACCTCATTAGCTCCATTTTACAGACAAGGAACCCAGTGCTCACAGTTGGGCAGGGGGAGGCTAGATCAGGGCTGCAGAACTTACAAGGGCCTGGACCATTTCACACAGACCCCAGCATTGATTCTGTGCAGAACAAGGACAGCTCGGATTCCGAGTGGAGTTTCTGGAGGTGTGGGGAGGAGAGGGAAGCAGTTGGTGAGAAGGGGAGGCATTTCAGACAGATGGCAGAGCTGGGCAGCAAGGTGGAGGTGGGGCCGCGGCCACAGTCCAAGCCCGGGTCTGCGTCTCTGGATGTCCCAACGCGTGTGCGTCTGCACGTGGATGTGGGCATGCACCAGAGCAGTGGGAAGCCAACACCAAGTGCACAGGTCAAGAACTAACCTCCCACCTCCTGCTTCAGGCAGCTCAGAGAGCCAGCTGCTGTCATAGGGGGCGGCTGAGAGCTGCATCCGTCAGCCGGCCGTCATGACCGCCCACCCCTGGGTCACGAATCAGCAGCTCCACTTACCTCCTGCCAGCCAGTGCGCTCAGACCAGCTCTGTCACTGGCCGCTGAGCCTTTGGAAAATGTAACCCTGTCAGCCCTCACTTGGAAGCAAGAGAGGGTTCACGCTTCAGTGAGTGCACAGGGGGGCATGAGCATGCCCACATACCCATGCCAGCATACAGCGCAGGCATGTGTGTACCTTCAGACACGTTCCTGGCTGGGTGCACAGTGCAGACATACGGATGCTCCCAGCCACACACACACAGCATAACTCCTGCAGGTCTGCAGATGTGGCCGTGTGCCCACACACCATGCATGTACTAGAGACACACTCTCATGTGTGCACTCACATTTGCACACAAGACATGTGTGCCTTCCATAGCTGTGTTCTCTTGCTTGCATGTGTGTGTGTGTTCACTGATACCCTTTCAGGAACCAACACATTTCCCCATTCAGGCATGCATGCATACATGTTCATGAACATATGTGTGTCCCCAGACACTCCCAGGCAGGTATGTGGTATAGGAATGTATGTCCCCTCAGATGCACCCGGGCATATGAACTCATAGGTCCATGCATGCATTCATA